CATCCATCTATCCATTCATCCATCCATCCATCCATCCATCCATCCATCCATCCATCCATCCATCCATCGGTCTATCTATCGATTGATTTATTTATCTATTTATTTATTTGTTTATTTATCTATTTTCTTATATAAATCAGGAAGATCTCAGTTCCTACATTTCTGAGAGTTGATCACAGAAGCACTTTAACCCACTCTGTGTCTGTAAGTCTCAAATGTCCCATTTGTCCCCAGCTGGGAAGCACACAGCCAGCACCCACCGACTGTCGGCCCTGGTGACCCCCGCGGGACGCTCCTACTTGTGCATGGCTCAACAGACCATCACCCTCATCTCCAGTGACCACCAGAAGGGTGTCACAGTCTCCATGTACGACATCCAGATCCAGCCCTTCGACATCGCCTCTGACTTCATGTTCAGCACCCGTAAGACAGTCTTGAAACTGTGCACACACACCCCCCCCCCCCAGTCACACACAGCTGTTTGTTTCACACTGCAGCAGATGATGGGAAACCATGGAGGGGTGGGGTGAGCTGTACATCTTTTTGTGGCTCTCTGAGGGGAAGGTTGTAGCTGCAGGATGCAAGGGGGTGTGAGGTGAAATGAGAAAAGGAGAGGTGGGGGTACATGAGAAATAAACCCCACACAGCAGGGGGGCACACAGACAGAGACAGGGTCATTAGGACTTTATGAGCTCAGTCATATCTGTGGCCTGAAAGCAGAAACATTTACCTGAAAATCACCTTGGAGGGATCATGTGGCCCGAGAGCTGCTGTAAACTCAACTCCCCGTCTTCCTCTGCTGCTGCCACAGACTGTCCTCCTTATTGTGCACTCACATTCTGAACACAGACTTTAATCATAGAGAGAAAACATCTGTGCAAAGACAATACACCGTGCCTTCATGTCTTAAAGTTTGAAAGCTGAAACGTTTCACTTCTTTTTGCTGTTTCACATCAAAGGTGATAATTATAAACGCCATTTTAACCCCATAATTCAGACAAAATGCTTATTTTATCACATTCACTGCTTCATTTTATTGTTGTAAAGATGAATCCTCGATTTATTTTATTGTGGGGAGAAAAGACAAACATGTTTCAGATCAGATCTCAAATAAAACATTTAAACTGTTTTTACGACGATTCTGAAAAAGTTCATTTGTTCGTCGTGGCTTGTTTCTGATTTTATTGTCCCATCCTGGCACTCGCTCAGTGGTGTTTCCTGTAAGGCAGGGGTCTGCAACCTTCACGATCAAAAGAGCCATTTCTGTCCCTTTGTTCACTAAATTAAACGTGTCCGGAGCCACAACACCTGCTACAACTGGGATTCTCAACTGGTGGCCCACGGACCACTTTAAGTTTGTTGGAGGGTGCTTTTCTGGACAGTAGTGATTTTATTAAACTAATAATATCTGATGATTTTTAACATTTATTGATATTTTTACGCTCCAAGACAAAATAAAAGACGAGATTCTTGTAAAGAAGGAAAAAATAATAAAGTTTTTGCCCAGTTTTTAAAAAACTAAAACAATAAACTGCATTCTTATGTGATTTTTTTTTTTTTTTTTTTTTTTTGGGTAGAAAAATTATGTATCCTACTTTGAAGAAATTAAGCATAAAGTGAAAGTATGTTTTACTCCTTGTAATGTTTCTAGTATTCATATATTTGCAAAATAAATTACAGGAAAACTGCTGAAACTTGCCCTTTTAGTTATAAACACCAATAAAATTCAGTTTTACTCCAGTTTTGGTCAAAGCTTGAACGGGCCGCTGCAGAGGGACCAAAGAGCCGCATGTGGCTCCAGAGCCGCAGGTTACAGACCCCTGCTGTAAGGTGAAACTGGCATGTGCACGTGCGTTGCCCTGTTGTTCAGCGGACAGCGTCCTCGAGCTGACACACGTTCACCTCCTCTTGCTCTTTAAAAGAGAACTTGATGTTTTAATTATAGAAATGTGCGCCCCATAAGATATTCCTCACCTAACACTGTATCACCCTCCATCTCCTCTGTTTCCTCCCTCCGCAGCCTATAAGTGCATCACCGACCAGAGGGAGCACCTGGAGGAGATCCTCCCCCTCATTCTGGGCCTCCTTCTGGGCCTAATAATCGTCATCATCCTCGCCATCTACCACTTCCATCTCAAGCTGACAGCCAGTCAGCCGCAGCTCCCCAGAGATCGCTCCATGTACAAGAACATGTAGTCAGCGTCTCCCTTCACAGCCGTCCTGACGGACTCGTCTCCTCGGTGTCCCGGCGCAGAGGAGCGCGTCCTCACGCTGGACTCAGTCCCTGATTGATGAAGGTGAAAGGCCCGCACTGCACTGCCCACTTGAGCTTCTGAATCGTTAAAACACACGTTAGTGGGACTTCTTGGGACCTGAGGCGGGTGCAGATGGAGAGTAATCTCACCCAAATCTAATTAATTTGGATCTCAATGCCATAAATAATAAATTAAAGTGTTTTGACTTTTCTTATAAACAGAATCATTTGTAAGAGTCAACTTATGTCTTCAAATCCTGAATTTCTACTCATCTGAATTTGCTGCTAAATGGTTTTATTTCTGTTTGTTGATCCTGCACTCGCTAACTTCAGCATACTTTTGTTCAGAGCCTTGTTCTCACGCTGAACGCAGCCATCGTGTCGCAGTCTTGTAGTGTTCAGTGCAGTCTTCGCCTTGACGTCTGACCTTTTCTCTATGGAACAAATCAAAAGAAGAAACTAAATAAAAACTCTTAACGATCTGCTTAAATCAACAGATTTGTGAGGAAAACATAACACTTGTGAACGTGCAGAGTGGTTTAAAATAAAAAAAAACGTGTAAAATATTTTTGAAGTGAAAGTCTATGCATAAATCTCTGCTGATGCAACCGTGTGAAGTATTCTGTCCTGTTGGAAATAAATCGCTCAATTCACCTTCGTCAAATGGTTTCTATGAGTCCAGTTTATCACATGCACTCCTCTCAGGCTGTCAGCCGTGATGGGGAGAAGAACATTTCCCTTCTAGTGCAAAATGTAGATCGAAAAAAGAAACCCGCGATGACTCTTACACGTGTCAGGACGAAGTAATGCTTTTGTTCCCAGATGCCGAGCCATCAACCAAACACGATGAGCAGATCTTTTAGAACGAGAAATAACGTTTTTTGTCGTTTACACCAGATTGTTTCAGCTGCCTGAACCTCACACGTCAACCTCAGCTCATATCCAAGGCCTTTAATGCAGTAACTCACTTTAATGTTGGAAATACTCTTCAGAATAGGTCATGCTAACACCTGCAACACCCACTCTGCCTCCTACAATGGCCTCACTCACAGAAATGAACTGAGTATTTGTGTTGTGGGTCTAAACGTATCTTTTACCCAGAGCAAGTTTTTATAACTTCTATCAAGATCAATAACATGTGATCATTTGGCACCATGATTCTGCAAACGTGATTTACTTTGAACTGTGATAGTTCTTCTCATAAATCATGTTACAAGTGATACTGAAAATAGTGACATTTTTACTCTGTTAAGCTTTGATTTGAAATTCCCAGTAAAACACGAGTCAGCCATTGCTATTCTGTTAATAAAAAAATAAAATACACATTTTAAAAGTGACAGGTAAATGGTTTTAATTGATTAGTGGTGATTTTGAGGATTTTTGGTCAAGCACCCCTACATTTTAACTCAGCACCACTGGAAAAATAAAGAAAGCATCATTAGGATTTTGTAAAGAAACTCACTTCTCAAATCTTGGATTCACCAAAATATTTAATAAATTTTGAATAAAAATGGAATAAATGATGACAGTCTCAAACGGGCCATTGAAATAAATCTATGATTTTTCTTTTAATTACACGAGTCGGAACCTCGAAGCCACCTGTCAATCAATCCAGAAGGCTCGTCTGCAACTGACCAATCAGAGACCTCAATTTGTCCCAAAGTGAAACGCCCCTTTCCTGCAGGAGCTCCACCCCCTTTTCCTCCGACAACATTGACGGGGTTTTGCATTTCGAATGTTTTGCAGTCAGAGGGATTTCGTGAAAAATCATCAGAAACAAAAGATTAAACATTGTCACTGGGGCAGATGTAATTCAGACACGTGTTACCCTGAGCGTTTACAGGGTGGAATACACTTTATTCCATTTCACAAACTAAACAAAGTTTAGAAAAATGTAAAAGATGGATAAAGCCATGAGCCGACCTCATGAGCAGCTGAATGTGACAGTGATAAACAGGAAGTAGCACATGTTCATCTGTGCGAAGGTAACTGCAGGTAAATTTTCAGTTTTTTGGTCATAATGACATCGTATGCTTAATGGTTAAATTAAAGGTCAATGCTTAAAGCTAGATGTGCTTTGTTTTGTGTGTTTTGTGTGTAGATATATGTTGCAACTTCTGGTTCTTTTTTTATGATCAGTTAACACTAAACTGATTTTGTACAAAGCGTTTATTAGGTTGTGTCATGTAAAGCAGAGCGCTACGTCTGTAGCATCTTAGCTAGCGCCTCTGTATTGCACACTGCTAGCTTAGCGCGACTTCTTGTTGTGCCATTAACTCTAAAATAGTTAAACGTAGTAAACGTAGATGTTTAAGAACCTGTTAAAATACACCAGAATGCAGGAAATGGTATCTACTTTATTCAAAAGTGTCCACCACGTTGTTCAAGCCAAGAAACACTGTCAACACTTGGGGCTAAGCACCCCTACAGGTCAGATTCTAGAAGCACCCCTGGTGCCGTGTGAGACTACAACTGGCTTCAAGGACACGCAGAACTACACCGAACCCACTTAACAAAGGTATAAAAGTGAGAGGATAACGTAGCTCAGGGCAGATTCTTCTGACTGTCTTCATGCGTGTACATATTTAGTGTTTTTATGTAACCTGTCATGAAATTTTGACCTTGCAAGTATAAATACTGGTTAAAAATCTTCTGCCATCATGCGTTGTTCTTTTGGGTGAACAACGTTAGTGAGAGAGGTTTTCTCCAACAGTGTTAGTATATTTTACTTGTATCATTAGTAGTAGTAGTATTCATAATATTTGTAGCAGTGTTAGAATAGATAAGATCAGGTCATCACTTAAACCTACAATTCAGATTTACTGATACTTGTTCAATTACCCAAAGTGAGAGAATAAAACCATAAGTTTGAAGCCCAAACACTCGAAATTAGGGAATTGATCCATTTGGACCTTTGATCTGGCACCTGATTGGTGTAAATAAATGAAGTGGCTTAATTTCTTCTTTTATTTAATCATATTTAGTTTTTTCAAACAACAGAATCCAAAAACATAACACTTACTTTAGTTTAAAAGACTGAATTAAATTTGTTCTGCGTTAGTAAATTCAATAAAACTTTTTCAGCTTCATTAAATCTCATGTGACCAGGTCTTTTGTTAGATTTGCTCAAAACATATTTCATGTAACTGTAGACCACTTCATACATTTAAACAGATAAGTTCATTGGAACAGGTTGGCAAAATTAAATTAAATTAATCTAATTCATGAAGTGTATCATCTGGCCTACTTGATGGAAAATATTTATGGCAAGCCTGCTGTGTATTTATTCAGCTTCCTTAAAGCAAAAAATGTTCAGGTTTTAAAGTGGGATTTTATGGAAAAAATTATGGATAATTAGAATCTTACGTGTTGTAGAGAGCTCTTTGTTCAACCTCAGTTTGGAAAAATGGAGCAAATTGTCAAACAAACGGGACCAAATCCAACGAGGAAAAGCGTTGTTTTCAACTAAAACCATTCATGGCTGTTTGAAAAACTTTACACGCCTGATTTAAACAACGTGGTTACAGAATACTCACAAAATGAGGAGTTCAGCTAAAGTTCAGAAGCGTGTCCAGTTAGTTACCTGTCAATCAGTGTGGTAACCATGACAACAGCCTGTGTTCAGATTGGTAGAAATAGGGCTGTCTGTTAATGTTTTGTTCCTGAACGTGGGGGTGAACCTGGTGGTGTTCGGCTCATCAGAGACACAGCTGTTGTTCCAGTGAAGCTACGGCTAACATTAGCCTCATTCATTTTTCTTCAACGGTTAATCTGGAGCACGCCTGTCCACTTCGTTATCAAGTGTGAGATGCTACAACACTTTTATTTGCCAGCGTAGATAATGGTAGCAGCAGCTAGCTGTTGCACTGCAGTGCACATGCAGAAATACCAAAATATTTCTGCCAGAATAACCACATAAATTAAAACTGACAAAAGGTCTATAGAATATTATTGGCCTATACTCAATGAAATACTGAGGACCTTTTCAAATTTTACTTTTGCAGGATTTGAGCTTTTGGTCATTCTAGTTTTAGTAACTTTGTTTTGCCAACAAGTAGAAAACTGTTGACCAACTTGTTGGAGCAGAAATCGTACCAGTCAGCTGATGTGGCACATTAATAACCTGTTCATGCTGCAAACCTGAAAAACTGGAACCTTCAGGTGGGGCCGAGGTCAGACCGAACTGAGACATGTTCCAGCTGCAGGCCATAAACCAGTAGGAGTTGTGCTGTGGGGATTTCTGTGTTGTTCTCCTTCACTCCCATGAGTTTCTCTTCCTCGTGTGTCTCACCTGTCTGTAGTCACTCCAGATGTTTGTCATTCTGTCTCGTTAGTGTTTATAAAGTCAGCGTCTCTGTGTTCCTCCTTCGTCTGTGCATTGCCCTGTCATGTTCTGTCTCCCTCCGTGCCTCCACGTTCCCTCCATTTATGTAAGTTTTGCTGCCATGTCAGCCTTTTGTTTTTGTCATTAAACATTATTATTATTTGTACCTTCGAGTGCCCCGTCTGTCTGCACATTGGGTTCAATCCAAGACCAGATCATGAGCTGCGCTCAGACTATCCTCTGCAAAGATTAAAACAGGTTAATGACAGCCTATGGATAAATGCTTTGAACTACACGTGCAACTGAATTACCGTATTTTCTGCCGTACACATCGTTCCACCCTATAAGTCCCATCAGTCCAATACAATCAATACATTTATTATGCATCACTGCTGACAGCCCAGAAATGTGGACCAGTGTTGTGCCAAAAATCGATTAGCTACCTAATGGCGGCCACGGGAGCATGCATGGGAGGACTTTAACAAGAATTTAACAAGATAAACACCTACAAACAATTATTTGTTTGCTCGACTTTATAGTAAAGGTGTGTTTCAGTTTAACTTTTGCTTAATAAAAGGACGTTAACAGTCAAAGCAGCTGCATTTCAAAAGCATTCGCTGCTCCCGGGAGGACACAGAGGGAGGAAAAAAAGAGGAGGAACGTGGCTCGTTTCTTGGAAATTTAACAAGATAAGCATCTAAAACAATTATTTGTTTGCTCGAAATTATAGCAAAGGAGTGTCTCAGTTGAACTTTTACTTAATAAATGCACTTTAATGGTAAAATTAGCTGCATTTCGCCAGGGCGGTGCAGTGTGAGGAAGCTGGTGTGATGGTTGCTCCCAGCAGCGAGCGGAACGAAGGTGGCAGGCTATGGCAAGCCGACTGAGTCATTAATAGCTGGTGAAGATTCTCAGTCATTCAGGACATGGTAAATTCAAAAAAATTCTAGACAAAACAATAAAATATAAAGTATAATAAATAAACCCAACATTTTTCAGTCAGGTCATCTGGACAGTTTCTTTTTTGTGCTGAATTTTTGTGTTGCATTGTAAACCTGGATTATTGAGCATGGACTTTGTTGTTATAATAAATAAAATCCAGTTGTTTTTGTCTTGAACTTTTTTGAATTTGTCATTATAGCCACTTTTACCCATTACATCCTGATACACGCTCAATAATCCAGGTAGAAAAATCCAAAAAAGTTCAATCTGGTCCTCTGGACATTCAAAAAACAAGAAAACAAAAACAAAACAAAACAAAGCAAAACAAAATGTAGAAAAGTTTTGTCTCTCATCCGAGAGACTTCCTCAGTCTGAGGTGCTGTATTCAGCTCAGTCTCTTAAATAGCACCTTCTCAGAGTGGATCAACCAGTTTTGCTGCTGACAACCAAAACCAGCTGATCACATGCTCAAGAAGGACCATCAGCCTAACAATGGATCATTAGCACACTGATGGCTGTTTACTGTTCACAGAGGGCTGAGTGATACTAGCAATCACAGCATTGTAAGAGGGGGACAGTTGAACCCGGAGGCCTCCACTCCTGTTTAACGATGGACGGTTTCTTTTCACAAAGATGGCCTCCTTTACTCCTCTCTCAAACCATCGTTCCTCTCTGTCCAGGATGTGAACATCTTCATCCTTGAAAGAGTGACCGCTGGCCTGGAGATGAGTGTAGACCGCAGAATCCTGGCCTGATGATGTTGATCTTCTGTGCTGGGCCATCCTTTTTGTCAGTGGCTGTTTAGTTTCCCCGATGTAAGACTGATCACCCTCCTGACACTGAACAGCATACACAACGTTACTCTGTTTGTGCCGGGGGACTGGATCTTTGGGATGAACCAGTCTTTGCCGTAATGTATTTTGGGGTTTAAAAGCCACTGTTTACTATTCACTGTGAATAGTAAACAGCCATCTGCTAAAGACCCATTGTTAGGCTGATGGTCCTTCTTGAGCATGTGATCAGCTGGTTTTGGTTGTCAGCAGCAAACTGGTTGATCCACTCTGAGAAGGTGCTATTTAAGAGACTGAGCTGAATACAGCACCTCAGACTGAGGAAGTCTCTCGGATGAGAGACGAAACGTTTCTATATTTTGTTTTGCTTTTTTTTTGTTGCTTTCTTGTTTTTTGAATGTCCAGAGGACCAGATTGAACTTTTTTGGATTTTACCCATTACATGATACAACGGCATGCCTTACTACTCTAGTGCTATCTAGCGGCTGAAAAATGGTAGTGTTCAGTTTTTTCAGTCAGAATGAATGAAAATGGTCATATCTCAGCCAAAAAATGGTTTATAAATATGGGAAACAAATCCATAAATATGTTGCTTCGGCCTATAAGTCGCAGAGCATGCAAATTATGCAAAATACTGCAACTTATACAGTGAAAAATACAGTAATCATATTCAAATGTACAAAAGAGACTGTTAATAGTTTATTACTGCAGCTATTACCACGTTTTATCTTCAAGGCAGCCATATTGGATTATGTAGTCACAGCTGGTGAGAATCCTCTGACTTTCAAAGTTGAATTTGCAACTTCAGGAAGTTCCTGTTGAGGTTTCCAACATGGAGCACCATGACTGCACAACTCATTACAAGTTTGCCGTTAGCGATCAAAACATTTCTAACCTGATGGATCTATTCAGTCTAAAAATGTCTCTGTCCACAGAACACAAGGAGCCACTGAATGGTTTGACACGTTTTAAAAATTTGGTAAATGTTTTTTCAATTTTCTCTCTCTCGGATGTAAAAATCACTTTGAACTTGTTTTAACCACTTGGTCTGGTGCTTATGTTTATTAAAGACCTTCAACATTCTTTGCACAGAAGTTTCAGTTTCATCCTTACTGATAGTTTCTTTCCTCCACATACCTGGCTTTTATTTACTGGTCCAAGGCGTCTCTCTCTCTAGGAGAGAAGCTCCATGCTTTGTTTGAGTAAAATCAATATCTCATTATAGTACTCCAGGGGGAAATGGCTTATAGGAAAGAAAGAGGAAAAAATATGTATTTGTAACACCTGTTCATAGATGTACCTCTGTGCTTGGAGATGAAGTTGAAGCAAAACTGTTGAAAATGGAAAACTGCCGAGTTGAGAAAATGTGGAAGAGACAAACAAAAAAAAAAATCGATGACCAAACTGGTGTAATCTGACGATGTGTTGGATTAAAATCCGCTAAATATGAAACATTGTGAGAGAGAAGTCAAAGACATAACAAAAAGTGAACACCATGCAACACAAATGTTTGTTCGTACGTGTGTTTTTTTTAATTGAACTCAGCTTCACCGATAACAAACGTGCAGTATCACTGTAAAAGCCAAAAAAACAACAAAAAAAAAAAAAGCAGATAAGTGTGACTCATTTGAATCTTGGCGCACACTTAGCACAACCTCACAGATGCTGCTCATCCACTGACTCACGCTCACAGTCGTGCGCACAGATCACAGTGACGGATGGGTAAAAATGACGCGGGGAGGATTACACCGCTCTGAGAATGGCAGCGCAGTCGGGGTGACAGCGAGCGTGTCTGACCGAGGTGGGATAAGGAGTGAGAAGATGACAGTGAGTAGAAAATAGGAGCTTTTATCAGCATCCTGAACTCTGTGCTGGCGTCTTGAACGAGTGCCTCTTGGTATTTAAAGCAACACAATAAGACTGCTATTATAAAAGAAAGAAAAAACTGTAAGGAATACATCTTGTTTTTTTGTCAAATCCATTTAACCTGTGCTACATGTAAAATGTGTCACAGTATCATAAAAGCTGTGCTTTGTGGCGTTATAAATAGGTCTGGGTATTGCTCGGATGATAAAACAGCTGATACTGCTTGTCAATTAAAAAAAAAGTCAACAAATAAATAAAAACAAACAGAAAAGGCCACACAATAAATCAAAACATACCTCCAAATTCCAATAAATAAACGAGTTCTTGAAAAGGTCATACAAAATTCTAACATTACCTTCCTTTCCCCCAACATTTAATGGAAGTTCGTCTACAAATGTGAGCTCATAAATATATTCAGTGTTTCTTTTCTTCTTAGTAACAGTTAGGGTGATTTTATTTGGAATATCTTATATCTTTAGGCAAAAACTGGATTATAAACAGTAGGAAAGATCTCTGCAGAAACTCTATTTAATACTGCTCATATCACAATGGTTACGACACGATAAAATACTGCAAGTTATCAAAACTGTACAGAGAAATCTTACAAGTTTTTCCTAAAATACATTTTTTTTTGTTTGTTTTCAGGTGTATGAGGTGAGAGGCGCCGGGAGCCTGTCTCTGTTTGATGAGAGTCGGGTACCTCGCTCCTCAAAGGCTGATTATTCGGCCCACTGCTTTTCTGCTCGGGAGACGGGTGGGTTCGCCGAGGTCCCCTCCGCCTCGTCAGCAACTCAGCGCACCCTTCTGAAGCTCTGGAAGGCTGATGGCTACTACGAGTCTACACAAAGCTGAAGACTCAGTCTGGGAAGAAAGAAGGATGCAGCGGTGCAAACCAGCACAAGTTCCTCCGGTGAACTTTGATTCCACCTCAAGGTCCAAACTGTTCAGTTTTTTTTTCTTCTTTTCTCTGTGCGTGTACTTTAAACATACTCCACTAGCTAATCTACGTCACGGTTATAGGTGTTAGTGGCGTACCACCAAGCAGTGGGGTCGACTTGGCAGGGTGAGGGCAGTGTCACCCTGAAAGGGGTGTTTATGTGTGTGTTTTCAGTATCGAAAGAAGTATGTTCGAAGTCAAGGGTCAGCGATGGCGGTAGTGTCTCATAAGGGGGACGATACATGAAGGGGGTCCAGATATCTTGAGGAACGGGTGCTGGAGGAGCTCCTGGGCAGTGGCTCTCTGCGACGGCTCCCTGACGAGCATCATGTCCAGGAAGGAGCGCAGCACAGTCGACACCTGGGGAACACACAGAAGAGAGATCTTAGCATTGATAACTTTATCTTCAACGTTTGGAAGAATATCTAAAGTTACTCATAATGTGACAATATAGCAGTTTTATGAAAAGGAAATATCTGTGAAATTTTATTGGCTTTCATTGAAAAGCAACTGACAAAAATAACTCTAATCAAAAGCCTCTTGTCTCCTTAGCTCAATGTAGAACACAATTTTCTTTAAATACTAATAAAATACTCGTGAGATATCACGAGCAAATACAGGTGCTGGTCATAAAATTAGAATATCATGAAAAAGTTGACTTATTTCAGTAATTCCATTTAAAAACTGAAACTTGTATATTATATTAATTTATTACACACAGACTGATATATTTCAAATGTTTATTTCTTTTAATGTTGATGATTATAATGACAACTAATGAAAACCCCAAATTCAGTATCTCATAAAATTGGAATTTTGTGAAAAGCTTCAATATTGACGACACCTGGTGCCACAGTCTAATCAGCTAATTAACTCAGAACACCTGCAAAGGCCTTTAAATGGTCTCTCAGTCTAGTTCTGTAAGCTATACAATAATGGGAAGAGTGCTGACCACAGCTGCCCAAAAGACGACCATTGACATCTTGCACAAGGAGGGCAAGGCACAAAAGGTAATTGCTAAATAGGCTGGTTGTTCACAGAGCTCTGTGTCCAAGCACATTAATAGAGAAACAAAGTGAAGGAAAAGACATGGTAGAAAAATGTTTACAAGCAATAGGGATAATCGCTCCCTGGAGAGGATTGTGAAACAAAACCCATTCCAAAATGTGGGGGAGATTCACAAAGAGTGGACTGCAGCTGAAATCAGTGCTTTAACAACCACCACGCTCAGACGTATGCAAGACATGGATTTCAGCTGTTGCATTCCTTGTGTCAAGCCACTCTTGAACAAGAGACAGCGTCAGAAGCATCTTGCCTGGGACTGCTGCTGAGTGGTCCAAAATTATGTTCTCTGATGAAAGTAAATTTTGCATTTCCTTTGGAAATCAAGCTCCCAGAGTCTGGAGGTAGAGAGGAGAGGCACATAATCCATGTTGCTTGAGGTCCAGTGTCAAGTTTCCACAGTCAGTGATGATTTGGTGCCATATCATCTGCTGGTGTTGGTACACTGTGTTTTCTGAGGTTCAAGGTCAACGCAGCCGTCTACCAGGAAGTTTTAGAGCACTTCATGCTGGTGACCAACTTTATGAAGATGGAGATTTCATTTTCCAACAGGACTTGGCACCTGCACACAGTGCCAAAGCTACCAGTACCTGGTTTAAGGACCATGGTATCCCTGTTCTTAACTGGCCAGCAAACTTGCCTGACCTTAACCCCATAGAACATCTATGAGGTATTGTGAAGAGGAAGATGTGATACACCAGATCCAACAATTCAGAAGAGCTGAAGGCCACTATCAGAGCAACCTGGACTCTCATAACACCTGAGCAGAGCCACAGACTGATTGATGCCACGCTGCATTGCTGCAGTAATCCAGGCAAAAGGAGCAACAACTAAATATTGATGCTGTACATGCTCATACTTTTCATGTTCATACTTTTCATGTTCATACTTTTCAGTTGGCCAACATTTCTAAAAATCTTTTTTTTTTTATTGGTCTTAAGTTTAATATTCTAATTTTCTGAGATACTGAATTTGTGGTTTTCATTAGTTGTCAGTTATAATCATCAACATTAAAATAAATAAAAATTTATATAATATACAAGTTTCTTTTTGAATAGAATTACTGAAATAAACCTACTTTTTCATGATATTCTAATTTTATGACCAGCGCCTGTATATATCTAGCAGTGGCCATCTTGGATTTTGACATGGAAACTCATTTTTTGAGATGAATGTTTCTTACGTGTAGCTGCAGCTACACACCAAAATGGAAGTCGGCATGTTGCTTATTTTTGAACTTATCCAGATCGTAATACAGACAGACAGACTGATGGAAGGTATTTTCAATCCCTCACTTCGCTCCACAACGTGGGACAAAAACATTAAGTTCTGTTCACAGCTGAGTTTTTAAAGATGGCAACTCTGTTTTCAATGCTGTAATCTGAGAAACTGCAGTGGTCCAAATCTGACTCACCTCTAATAAACTTGTACAAACAGCTGTGTTCAGAGTGATATGTTAGACTATACTCTTTCTCTTTTCATATCACTATTTATGTTTTATCCGTCCCCACTTCCATTGGACTTTGAACCCAGTTTTGTTTTGTTCTTTTTAGGAAATTTGTCATTTAGGAGAACATCTTTAGCTCTTAATTTGGAACTTACTGTATCCACCATCCGTTGGATAAGCTTGCTCTTTTTATTTTCCTTACCTTGTGTGATTCCTTTAACCGGGGGGGCAGGTTGTCTCGTATCCTCCTCATGGCCTGCAGTGGGGGTTCATTGAAGTAGGGGGGCTCTCCATCCACCATCTCGATCACCATGATCCCTAAAGACCAGATGTCCACCTGGACACAGAACCAAACATTCTGTTCACCAGAAGATCTAAGTCCACAGAGTTGTCAAAAGATCTGAGTTCCCACCTCAGTCCCGTAAGGTATTCTGGAGATGACCTCCGGTGCCATCCAGTACGGCGTGCCCACCAGAGACTTCCTCTTGGGCACCTCTTTGGAAACTTGGGCACAAAAGCCAAAGTCTGATAACTTGATCTGCAAACACACAGACGCACACAGCTCACATTTTACATGCAGAAGTGTCCTGACCCACAGGGATGAAGAGCTTCCACAGAAGTCGCCTCTTTGCCCAGTTAACAGTTAATCAGACTTTAATTAATCACGTCTTATCAACTCGTTAGGAGGCATTATGCAGGATTTAATTACTGGGCCACGAGTGGAGATTGATGGATGAAAGAGTTCCTGGCTCGGGCTGTTGGCGAGTGAGAAACAACTCCCAGGAAGAAGGTCACAGTAAGAGAGAGAGAGAGATCTGGAGTAGATGTAAGTAAACTGTTTAGACGGGTGAGAGAGGTGGAATAAGAGAGCGATGAAGATCTGTTGGAGAAAAACTCGTCTTACCCTCCCGTCGCTGGTCAGGAGGATGGAGTCGCTCTTTATGTCTCGGTGGATGACGCCCTGTGTGTGCAGGTAGGACAGAGCTCTGAGCACCGACAGACACACGGTGGCTATCTGCTCCTCGTTCATCCTGTGAGGACACACAAACACACACAAACACACACATCAGCCACCACAGAAACCTTCCCTGTACGGCAGAGTACGGTGAAAAGGTCTTTAGGCATCAGTCGTTCCTTCAGATTGTCTTTCCAAGCAGCCGGACCTTCTTGTAATCTTTTAAAGTGGTCTTCATGAAAGGATTTTAAAGTTGTTTTCTTCTTACTTTGGTTGTTTGTTTCACTTATCAATCCAGCACCTGAATGTTTGTTTGTTTGTTTGTTTGTTTGTTTGTTTGCTTGTGTGTTTGTTTGTTGAGCCAATCAACCCTGATTCATGAATCAGTCTGGTACAAATAAAAAAAAACAATGAGGTGATTATCAAAAAGTTATGAGCTGAAAACTTGGAAAGATGATCCATCCATCCATCCATCTATCCATCATCCATCCATCCATCCATCATCCATCCATCCATCCATCCATCAATCAATCAATCATCCATCCATCATTCATCCATCCTCCATCCATCCATCCATCCATCCATCCATCAATCAATCATCCATCCAACCATCCATCCATCCATCCATCCATCCACCCAACCATC